GGTAGGGCAAGGGCGAGAGTGAATTGCTACAGTAGTAACCAAAGCATTTCCCCTTTAATGTCGGGCCTAGCCAGATCAGTCCAAAGCACCCACCCAGCCTCCTCCATTTAAGATCATGCAGAAATTGGTCATATACGTTTCTAGTTGGTCCATGCAGAAAGTTTTCATAATTAATCGACCGATGTTGCTTTCAAAGACTTTCAAGGAAGCAATTGAGCCCTCCGATATAAAGTAATCTGAGTCGTTATAAAAAACAAGCAAACAACACGTGAACAAACCAGAGCAAGCAATCTCAATAATTATAGAAACATACACTGAGATGGACACAGAGAATACTATTCGAGTCTCTTGTCCACCTATTTTGTAAAGGGTCTTTCTTTTCTACTCGAGGACATGAAGCTAATAAATGGTTAGCTTGAACCCTGAGTCGCTTCAATGCCCCATCCAACAACTAGTATTGCTTCGCTTTGCGTGGTATTTTATATATATATATATATATAACACAGACAGAACATCATCGATTTAAAGGTATTCTGGGTTCTTAATTTTCTTAATTTTTTGCAAGATTATGCGATATATTATAGGTGTTCTTGGTTTCGAGTTGAATTCTTCATGCTATGTGAGTTTCGTTGTCATTAGCCTCAGAAAGTTGAATACTATAACTTAGGACCAAATCTAGCGAAGAAGATGATCATAGAGAACCTCGAAATTAATTTTACACCGAGTATAGTGTACCACTCTATGAAACAATTCTCTTATTACTCTATCATAAGATATTATTGAATGAATGAATAATTTATTCATCGTGTTTAACTCTCAGTAGAAATTTTGTGATTGCTATACTAACGGTTAGAGATTAATACGAAGTATATACTGATTTCTTATTTAATAATTAAATTTTTTTATTAAAATGATTTATTAATACAGCATCATAGTTTTACCTATTTATTTAAAATAAAAAATATTACATATTACATATTTAAATACTAAATAAATAAAAAATCAAAATATTTTGCAGGGCAGCCCCTGCTTGCCTCCCCTAGTTCCGCTCCTGATTCAAACAGTCATTTTGAACTTGCTTGACTAAATATATATTTTCTTTCTATTCTGGGGTCGGTCAATACGTCTTCTCTAAGCATTTCAAGAGAGGTCTATGTTGCAAGTGAGGTTCTGGTTTAGTGGTGGGAGGGGCTTGTCCCCTTCCTCTACACCTGGGTTCGAATCTCACCATGCACGCCTATCATCCCGCGGTGTCTTATCTGCTCACTGGACTTGCAGGATGTTCAGTGGGCCGTGGGGATTAGTCGTGGTGCGTGTAAGCTGACCCGAACACCCCACGTAAAAAAAAAAAAAAGAGAGAGGTCTATGTTAGCTACATGAACTTCTGGGTTTGGGTTAACGAAAGACAAGAAAGAGGGGAAATACTATTTCTAACATATATAAACGAAGTCTTCAATAAATTTGGCTTCGCGAACACTTAAAAGACATGTCAATGGGGGAGAAAATCTAATCTTAATTCATTGATTGTGAGAACTCGGAATGGTAGGCAGAAGTCTTGCGACCTCTTATTGTACTTCGAACCCTAATTATTTATTTCTTAGTGTGATGTACTCGGTGTGTTGAACATCTTGGCATGATTTATGACCTTAGTTTTTATAACATAATCACCCTCCATTATGCAGATGTCAAACATTGAATGCAAAACTGCCACCATGCAAGCTTTTTTCTAGGCGAGATCGATAAGAGTAATATTTTGAGTCCCTTTTCCAACTATCTTCCAAGAAAAATTTTCTTTTTCCTCGGGACAGAAAGCCAGTAAAAAGATGGCTTGCCCCGTGACTGAGGAACTGAGTCGAAGAGTAGAGCGTTGAGCTGCTTCCATGTTTTATTATTGACCACTTATATATATATATATTTATTTGGCAGTGGTTTGGGATGAGATGGATTGTTTTGAGATTTGTTTAAAAAGAAATAACGGATTATTTGATTGTTTATGAAATAATTATAAGTCTTGAGACAATCTATTCTCTAGGGAAATGAAAAATAAATAAAATAAAATAAAAATTGGTGTATGGGCTGTAAAAAGGTTATCATTTGGTGCTAGAAAATAATTTACAGACCAAAAAAATCACATTAAAACTTCATACAAATCGACGAGTGAAGTGCTAAAATATGATAAATAATGGATTCAAAAAATAATAATTAATAGATTAAGCATAAAAAATCAATTGTCACAACACTTTTCATGAAAAAGTTTGTATGATTTATTTATTTACTCTATTTATGTAACATTAATATTATAATTAAGTTTAATTGCCAAGTCGTTCTTCGAGGAATTGAAAATTTAAAAAATAAACACCAAGAAATATTGCTACGTTTTTTAAACTATGATTGTTAGTTGCTCGACACTGGATTCGTTTAAATATTGATAATTTGTTGTTCAGTGGTACAAATCTTCAGGAACTAGTTTTTGGTTATTGAATTTAAGTGTTTTTTTTTTTAATTGAATGTTAAGCAAGCTATCTATACTTCAATATATGCATTTATAATTTTTTAAAAAACACTTCTTTAAATTTAAACCTAAAATAATAGTTAGAGCAAATCTAGTTACCCTCTCAATAAAAAATTTTAAACTTATATATTGATATTCAAATATTTTCACAAATAATCCACCCTAAACCTTATTAACCAGATAAATGCAAAAACTTCATGTGCAAATACTTATCATGATGATGGATTAAAAACTTAATATGTATTTTAAAAAAAACTAACAACCATTAATCCCAATATTAAAGAAAAACAAGTCAATACCGAATCATTAACAAAAACTTAAAAGAGATTGGTACAATACTGTGCACCAAATGTTTTTACCCTTCTCAATAAACTCAATCACCTTAATCGGGGGTAATACAATTTTTTTTTTCATATAATCTAATCTATTGAATATTATCAAATTAATTGGAATAAATTAATTTTTTTATATTTTTAGCATGATAAAATTATTTAATCATTCTTAAAAGTAAAAAAATAGCACCCAGGAGCTTCTTAGTTTTTTTTTTAAAAAAAAATTTAAACACAATAAAATGAATTGATTGCTTTACAATAAAAAATATTAAGCGGGTCTTCATGGGTTTTTTTGTATTTTTCATATGGTTTTTTTGTTATAATCAACTTTATAAAGAAACAATTTGATATTTTATTAAATATAAAATATTATTTTAAAAAATAATTGAAATATATAAAGCATATGCTAGCATATGGGGGGGTGCTCGCATCATTCAAACATTGTATGAAACGTCGTATGACAACTAAATAATAGCTTTTAGAATTATATTTAAATCATCTTGATAACCCTTTTATTTTTAGATAATGCGCATGATTAATGAACTCTGATTTGGTATGAACAATTTTTTTTATTTTTTATTTTCTCTTTTATTTTCATACCTCACCTTCTATTGTTTTTAAGCAACCTGTTATTTTATTTTTTATTAAGATTTGGTTCGTGTTTTTTTATTATTTGTTTTATTTAAAATAATTTATATATTTTTTTCAATTTAACCCTCTTTTTATTTTTTTTATCCATCATATTTGTCATCATTATTTTGACTATTATTTTTTTATTTTCTTGTTTTATTTTACTTTTAATTTTATTCTTTAATATTTTATTATATTATATTTTTCAACTTGGTCTCTCATTATTTTATTTTATTTATTTATTTATATAAAAATTGATATTCATTCTTTTTATTGCTATTTGTTTTGTTTTTGATTTTGGATGATTAAGAATTTTACTTCATGATTTTTTCAGACTTATCTTCTATAAGATAATATAGTTTTATCACTTGGGTCACAAGTTTGAAATACTAGTCTATTTTGATTTCAGTTTGATTTTTTTAAAATTAATTTTTTTACAATATCATCCTTCAACATTAGGTTATTGGGCTTTCAACATTGTAAGTTTTGCCTATTCTCTTTCTTTAGAATTATCTCGATCTCATATTCTAAGTTGTAGGTCAGTTGAATTAACTCAGGTTGACTCGAGTTTTTTTTTTTGTTTTGTTTCCTTTTATTATTTAGGGTCTATTTGAGAGTATGATAGATATTGTATTTTAAAGTGTTTTTCAACTACACGTGTATTAAAATAATATTGTTTTTAAAATTTATTTTAACATCGGCATATTAAAATAATCTAAATATATAAAAAAATTAATTAATAAAAAAATTCAAATTTTTTCAGAAACACTATTTGACTACCCTCCTAAACACAATTTTAGTTTGCATAAGAGTTGATATCCATTATTTCATTCAATGTTTTTTGCACGAGATTATCCTGATATTATAATTGGGCCATAAATTTGACATGATAATTCAAATTAAGTTTTTGTTTAAAATTAATTTTGTCAATTCATTTTACAACATTTGATTTGTTGATAATTAAACTTAATTTTTTTTTGAAGTTATCTTGTTCTTATTTAATTTTTGTTTTGTTATCAAATAAAATTACTAAGACTTTTACAAATATTTAAATAGTATTTTTTATAATATTAGCAAATATTTGTTTTTGAAGTCATTATTGTTTTTTTTTTTGTCATTAACTTTTTTGATATAATTATACTGTTAAATTTATCAAACTTAGTTAAATTAATAATAAATTTTAGATCTTTCTTATTTTTTTAAACAATACTACTATCCTCCCATTTTTTTACATTAAAAAAAATATTGATTCAGCCCCTGACTTAACAGTGGTCTATGTATCTGGTGTATCCCAATTTTGGATAATCAAGATATTTTTCAGGCACAACACCGCACTAATGGACTAAAATAGTCGGCAAAGGCAGCAAAACCTGGCCCTACTTTCTCTAAAAATTAACCAATCAACACCTCACACCTCATATCTTAATGTCCAAGTAGACGTTACCGACAGTACCTGAAGAACAAGTGGGTGAAACTTTCATTTTCAAGCCGTTGTCAAAATACATTAAGTCATTCAAAACATTAAACGTTAAAAGATTGGCCACAAGTTTCAATTAATGCAACCCTTTTGCAATTACCTGATAAGACCAAGCTACACTCCATGATCACTGATTTTATTTTTCCCGCTTGTAAAGATTTAGTAGTGTCTTCTACTTCAACTACATTTCTCTTCTCCCCTGTTTACCACACTGGGTTTGATCTGTTAAGAGATGGGAATATTGAGTAGTATATTGGGATTTTGTGGTTTTGGAGTAGGAACGTCAATTGGGATTGTAATTGGGTACTACATGTTTATCTATTTTGAGCCAACTGATGTCAAGGTCAGTGTTTTTCTTCTTTCTTTTTTGTTTTCTCTCATGTATTTTCAGTTGTGTTGCATTTTCTTGGTTTTGTTTGGTCTGAATCTTGCCTTTTAAGATTCCATGTTGGACAACAATGTCTGTTCGCTATGTGCGAGTTGTGGAGACGTGTAAACTATAGGAAAGAAAACTGCTAGGGCTATTTTAAGCTCTAGCAGGGGTGAAAATATGGATAAGGCCATGTGTGGTAAATTACTCTGCAGTTTTATGGAACCAGTTTGGAATTTACCCTGCTTTACTGGGCTTTTTAGTATCTTCATGGTTTATTTTGCCAATATTTTCATTAAAGACGACTAGTGGCAAGTCCATTACAAGGTGGTCTTTTACAGGATTGTTTGTCTACTTGGATTGACTGTTGATGGGTTCTATTTTTTATTAGAGTAGGAGTTTTGCGTGTATGGAGCTCCGCATAGAAAAAAATGCAGCAGTTTGTTGTACCATTTGGATCTTACTACTGCTTTTTTGTATGCAGAATGTATGAGGTGTTGGGCTGTTACGGGGCATGGCAATTCATGAATTTGCACATACCTATATGTTTTCATAGTGAATGTAAATAGAATATGAGTGAGAGTTTCGTCACTTAATCTGAATCCAGATAGAGAGATGGAGCAGTTAATGCAAATGTCACTTTATTTTAGACATTCAAAGATTCGCATTTCTGCATAATTGCCACTAAAATCATAGAATTGGAATCTTAGGCTGCTTTTGGTTAAAAAAGCATATACATAAGGGATAAAAATATGTTTGGTTAGAAGACAATGATAAAGATATTAAAATAAATATTTATAACAGTTTTGTAACGAATTTTTGTTTTTGCTAAACAGAAATAATATGAGGATATATCTTTCTATCCTGACAATTTTTTTTATATTTAAGACAGGAAATAAACGCGCCTTAACTTATGTTTTTTCTAGTTTCTTACCATTAAAGTCACGGATTAACAAGTACTACAACCATCATATAATTTGATTAGTTGGTATGTTCATCATATTATTTGATTGATTAGTTCTGGCTGCTGGCTTATCCAGGATCCTGTAGTCCGTCCTTTGATTGAACAAGACTCGAAAACTTTACAACGTCTGCTTCTAGAAATACCCCAGTGGGTGAAAAATCCAGACTATGATCGGGTATGCAATTGCCTGCAGCTGTCTTTTGCTTTTCAATCACACTAGAGAAATGCTGATTCTAAAGCAATCTTCTCATAGATTTTAATAAATTTTCTTCTGTGAAGGTTGACTGGCTTAACAAATTGATTGAGAACATGTGGCCTTACCTAGATACGGTATGGATGCCTTGATGATTTGTGGATGGGTTATGCATGGCTTCATTTCTGTTTGTGGGCATATTCATTTGCTTTTATGTACTTTCTTGATGGTTTTTAGTTTTCTAGGCAATCTGCAAGACTGCAAAGAATATAGCGAAGCCCATTATTGCTGAGCAAATTCCAAAATACAAAATTGACTCTGTTGAATTCGAAACACTTACCTTGGGCTCCCTGCCACCAACTTTTCCAGGTTATATTGCCCTCCCTCTCTCTCCACACTTTTATAGGCTCCTGCGTGCACACTTCTTTGTCACAGTGATCTAAGATAACTTTGTTGTTGAAAGAACTGTGGAAAGTGTCAACAAGTTTCTCTGCATGTCTTTCGATCAACAGGTTTTAAGATTAGAGCTATGCATTTCCCAGCACCCATTTTCCCTCTCAAGAGTAATCGTAAACTTTTCATTCTAAAGCTTAACAGATTGTAAATGATTTATTGTTGAATATGGAAAATACATTGCCTTCAATCTACTAAGCTAAGCAAAATGGAACATCCCCTTGCTATTTAACATCATGTTTTTGCCACCCAGTAAAACTATCATACTATAGCATCTGATGCATTGAAGGGACTCTTCTACCTCACACTAATGCGGCACATATATACAATACAAGGTTGCTTTGAGGTACACACAGCATGGCAGTAAAGTCTTGAACAGTGCTGATTCTTGCTTTTACTGGATTCCAGGAATGAAAGTTTATGTCACTGGTGAGAAAGAGCTGATCATGGAACCGGTATTGAAGTGGGCTGGGAATCCAAATATTATCATTGCAGTTAAAGCATTTGGTCTGAAAGCCACAGTTCAGGTATTTTGATTTGTGACCGCTAATAGACAGAAAGACATTTTTGTTTGCCAAAATGAGGTTGTTGGCTTTACTTGAGTAGGCTATGACAACACTTGCACTTGCTCACACCCTCCTCTCTTTGGAAGTGACATCATTGACCTCTCTGGACGATTCTCAGGTGGTTGATTTGCAAGTATTTGCCACTCCACGTATCACCCTAAAGCCTTTGGTTCCTTCATTTCCTTGTTTTGCCAATATATGCGTGTCTCTGCTACAGAAGGTATGTGGTGTTACTATATCGATTGTTATGCAGAAGGATATTTTACTTGGCAGCAAGGAATCTGGCATCATTATAGATTCTTTCTGATTTCGCAGCCACATGTTGACTTTGGATTGAAATTGCTTGGAGCTGATGCTATGTCCATTCCTGGCCTGTACAAATTTGTCCAGGTATTCTTCTTTTTATTTTTGTTTCTTTTTTTATGGTAGGATGGACTGGAGTGAGGTGGTTTCCTCTCATTATTAATTCTCGAGAAATAATTCTCACCATCATCATTCCTAGGGATGCCTATTCCAACAAACAATATCTGCAACTGTTGATTATAAGTTGAGTTCCTCATTCATGATAATGTTATTTGTATGTTTGTTCGGAGGTTGAAGGGCATGTATTGAGGACAAATATTTTCCTTATACAAGCATTGCAGCACAAGGACTGCAAGTCCAAGGATCATGAAACTATCTATATGGACCATAGGGATTAGGGGAACCTTTTTTATGAAGGTTTTCCGGTCCCTCATCTATTTTTCACCTCCTTTCCTTTTTTACCTGTTCAGGAGCTTATCAAAGATCAGGTTGCAAGTATGTATTTATGGCCAAAAACCTTAGTAGTGCCAATTGTGGATGCTTCAAAGTAAGTATCATATAACTCCTTTTCTCCTTATCATGCAATCTGCTTGCCAAGACCTGCTAAGTTTTCCTAAAAATTGTCAGAGCCATGAAGCGACCTGTTGGGATACTCACTGTGAAGGTTCTGAAGGCAACGAAGCTTAAAAAGAAAGATCTGTTAGGGGCATCAGACCCATATGTGAAATTAAAGCTTACTGAAGATGCGCTTCCTTCAAAGAAAACAACTGTCAAAAACAAAAACTTGAACCCCGAATGGAATGAGGAGTTTAATATCACCGTTAAGGACCCAGAATCTCAAGCCTTGGAGATTACTGTCTACGATTGGGAACAGGTGTGTATCTTTATGCATCTTCTTGAGATTAACCACGTGTGCTTCAGAAGTTTTTCCTACCATGAGTGGAAGTTGGATGGATTAGTGGTTTAAGATAGTCGATGACTGAACCATACAGGTCTCTTGCATGAGAAACTCTCTTTTGCTACATGGCTTATCGTTTCTGTCCTTTGTTTTCCCGACATTAATGATTGAAGAGCTGCATGTTTCCTTTTCCTTAGGTTGGCAAACACGACAAGATGGGTATGAATGTCATTCCATTGAAAGATCTGACACCGGATGAGCAAAAGGTTATGACTCTTGATCTGCTGAAAAATATGGATCCAAATGATGTTCAAAATAAGAAATCACGTGGACAGATTGTTGTTGAAGTGGTATACAAACCTTTTAAGGATCTCGAGGCACAAAAGGATATAGTTGATCCAAATGCAGTGGGAAAAGCTCCTGAAGGAACACCTGCTGGTGGTGGTCTGTTAGTAGTTATTGTACATGAAGCTCAAGATGTTGAAGGGAAGCACCACACAAATCCTTATGTTCGATTACTTTTCAAAGGGGAGGACAAAAGAACTAAGGTATGCCATAAACTAACATCATCTTACATGAGCATAATTACGCTGATTTTTGCCTTTCCACGGTGAAGACCCAATTTCTAGTTACGTACTGTATTTTTGTTATCAAGCTGCTTGATTCTCCAATTATGATATTAATACAATTCTCTTTGTAAATTGGTAAGTATGTACAGTGAAAGAGTTAATGTTTAACAACTAATGATGTATGTTTTGGTATTGATACAGCAAGTGAAGAAAAATAGAGATCCAAGATGGGGGGAGGATTTTCAGTTCACGCTGGACGAACCACCTACAAATGAAAGACTTCATGTGGAAGTTCTTAGTTCCTCAAAGATGTCTCTACTTCACCCTAAGGTATATACATTGCGTTAGCTAAATGCCTTGATACCATCGTTAGCATGCCTGATCCAACAATCAGACATAAACAAGTTAAAACCATTATGGTTCCTCTGGAAATTTTAAGAAAAAAGTGTGTTGTATCCTGTTGAATGTTGATCATTGTCTAACTCGTTTATGTTCCTTCATTCTTCATACCTCTGGAAATTTTAAGAAAAAAGTGTGTTGTATCCTGTTGAATGTTGATCATTGTCTAACTCGTTTATTTTCCTTCATTCTTCATAATTTCCAATCAGGAAAACCTGGGTTATGTGATTATAAACCTAGCAGATGTCGTGACAAACAGGAGAATCAACGAGAAGTACAATCTCATTGACTCCAGGAATGGTCAAATCCAAATTGAGCTGCAATGGAAAACATCTTAAGGGCACACATATTTTGTTTTTTAGGAGGTATTTGGTCAAAACATAAGACATTTCCTTCTGCTTTTTGTTTGTAGTGATTTCAGTAGTGTGCACTCTAATAATTGACTCCGTAGATTACCGGAGCATGAACTCTGTAAATCTAAGCTTGCCGAAACATTTCCAGATACTGTATAGTAAAAATCTGTAGCAATTTCTAGCCATGTTCTTGTGTTTGATGAGAACTATTTTTTTCTTTTCTTTGATGAACATGTATGTATTTTAAAGATATGATCAGCAAAACTTTACAGATAAGCAGCTTGTGAGGCTGTGACGAATATTGTAGCACTACTAGCTTGAGTTACCATGTCCATCCCTTAAAGTTGAACACAAAGGCTAGGCTTGAAGAACAGATTCAACAGGCCAGCAGCCCAAAGGCATCTGAACAAATAAATAAGTGAAGGCTTGCCCTCGAGCCCGTTAAAAACACAAAGACACACACACACACACACACATATAGACTAGAAAACACAAAGACACACACACACACACACATAGACTAATAATATTCCCATTTAGAAGCTCAGATTTGTGGTTCTGCTATCAATTTCTTGTGAATCTTTTCACGTCTCAATGGGTTTTAATCAGTTATGTTGGAGCAATGAGGCTTCTAACCGAAGTCCGCTGAGTTCTATGGCTTCCTGTCGCACCAATTCTTTGAATAGGGCTTTAGCGTTCAATGATGAAGGCAAATTGGTGCCTGAACCCACTACAATGTTGCCGGATATAAGATCAATCGGAGATTTACCTGGACGGAAGTGATCTTCACCGAAAGAGCAGCACACCTGCGGTACCTGTAACATTTCGGATATAAACACCATCCGGCCGTCATGTCGATCAGTAAATTGCCGACTCGTAACCTGGCCAGAGTCAGCTTTTATTTTGAATCATTTTAAAGTATTTATATTTCAAATATTTATTTTTCATGCCGGTCCATATAAAATCTATAAAAAAAATCAATTCGTTTTTTAAAATAAACAAATTATTTAAAAAACAAGAATGTGTCCTATCAACTCTTTTTTTATTCTTCTGGTGAATAAGAGTTGCAAACTTTACACTCAATCGGCGATCAGTTCTGCCCTGATATGATATCTTGCCAGCTAGTTGATTTGAAGAGTTGAGGGAAGGGTGGCCGAATCTTCAGCGTAATAAATAATAGCATGGTTGAACTATTACGGGAACTGTGCCTTGAAAAGTGGGCTGATGGTCTATCAATCACTCCAAATTCGAAGAGCAGGCTTCTGGCATTCAGCAGAACAAGTAAAAGCGACCATCATTACATAACAGTAGCTTTCTTATCGGCCCACAGCCTTCAAACTCTTATCATCCAAACAATTATGACACCATAAGTAAAAAAATGGTTTTCTTATAATAAATATAGTTTATCCGGTACCATCTGTTCTCGACAGTGCTGATCATCGACAATTTACTTCGCCTTCTCGATCTTAGATTATAAGTTTATCATGCTTCTTAAGTTGTTATTTGGTTTAAGTGTCTAAATTATTTTTTAATTAAATATATATTAAAATATTTTTTATTCTTTTACTTTAATATATTAAAATTATTTAAAAATATCAATTTTAATATTTTTTTTGAGCAAACAAACTTTCAAGAAAATATCTAAAAGTAAAATTTACTGCAAATAAGAATCTAACTTATTTTAAAGTTAGGATTAAATGGTAACCATATTAAATTAAATAAACCTTAATACAAAGTGGTGTTTATTTTTAAATAATTAAGATAATTTTTTAAAAAATAAAAATTAAAACTACACTATCTTAGATAAAAAAAAATTAAAATTGACCAAATTAGATTTTATCTAATTTAATCAGGTCAATTGAATTATAAATTAACTTTTAATTCAGTTAAATTTTATTATCTCATCATCTATCCTAATTATATAAAAATAAAATTAAATCCAAGCTAAAATATGATATGATGAGGGATTTCAAGTTAACAAATACTGTACCAATTTCCAAAACAACTGTGAAATTTGTAAGTTTATAAAGCAGTGGGAATTCCCTCGTCATAGTGGACGGATCTGGGCACCTCGTTCTTTTTTCTTTTCCCTTGTTAAAAAATTTGGGCAGTCTTCAGTTAACAATGAATGTTATCATATGCTTAGTGCGCAATGTATTCCGATGTCACTATAATATAACTGGTTTCATCAAATATAGAGTAGGATGACGATTCAACAGCATCTTTTTAAAAAAAAAAAATCAATGGTCTTGATATTCTCAAGCCAAACTATGTAATAATATATAAATAAGGCACATTAATAATTTGTTGCTAGGAGCATCAAGTTCTTCGAGCGAGTGGGCTCGGAGTTTTGTAGGCATGGAACTTAGTGGTTTATGCAAAAACGAAATGTTAATTGTTTATTTTGGGATGTGGCTCGGTTGAGGAAGACATCGTCTTGCTGGAAAGCATTGCTTGTGAACTTCAATGGACATTACCCACAGAGTTTACTAAAATTTGCTGAAGACTTTACACCCGGACAATAATTCATATCATTTTTTTTTTTAAAAAAAGCGACCATCATCACAGGATTTATAATTATGATATAATTATTACACATAATCATGATCATCTGCGCAGCTCCATCATACGAGAAAAGTAGTTAAAGCGCACAAATCCATCTCCATTCTTATCAACCAAGGCCTGCAAGCCTCTGCTGCCTCTTGAAGTGCTGTCATTGCCAAGACAGTATGAAACCAACTCTACTTGCTGTTCATATATAATCACAACCGAAAGAATTGCCTAGCTGGTTAATCGCCTAGCACATGAACGAAGAATCCCCAGCTCATGAATGGAGAAAAAGGGGGAGGGGAACGAAAACTTGGATATTAGCAGCAGGACCTCGGCAAGGAGAAGAAGAAACTTTCAAGAAACTTCCCTTTATTTTTCTACTCTGTCAACACACGAAAAGCTAATAGGTATATATTTCTTCTTCGATTGTGATTTCAGTAAGAAAAAAGTTGTGAGTTCATATCTTTTGGGTCCCAGCAACAGAATAAAATTAAAGCAAGAAAAGACGATCTGTGAATCGAGGGGAAAACATTTAAGTTCTCTCCTCTTTGGAAACTCAAAGCCACGTAATTTTGAGAGGGACAAGAAGAGGATGAAGAGGGAGATGGCGATCCGGGTAGATTGTGTAGTGATCAATAGGTTGCTTCCGTTGATGCTGCCATACAGCGAAGAATCTGTTTTGCAGCAATGGATTTTCAGTTGCTAATTTTAAACAAATGTACACATTCCATTGAAAAATAAATTGTTCTGTTGCTGAAATCCCATGCTAAAAACCTTAGGAGTGAGGGGTCAACTCCTGGTATGGCTTTGTGCATGCCTTTTGGGTCTTTGACCCAGTGGGTTAGCTCCTAGCTCCTCACAAGCACATGGGAGTGTCTATAAAAAAGCCATGAATTCAATTTTGAGTTAGATTGGCCGTGAGGAATGTGTTTTATGGTCAGGTTATAAATCACAACAGAGAGATTCTCTGGAATATTTGATGGAATGAACTCCAAAGTACATTGAAGCGGAGTTCAGTAGACAAGGGCATGATTGGTGATTAGTAGTGTATTTTGTTTTTTAAAGTTTTTTTTTGTATTGAAATATATTAAAATAATATTTTTTATTTTTTAAAAATTATTTTTAAAATCAATAAATTAAAACAATTCAAATCATGTAAAAAAATTAATTTTTAATAAAAATAAATAAATTCTAAAGACACCGTGCAAGGTAATTGTATCCGTCGAGCTCTTGAAAACGCTTAGGAGAGGATTCTCTACTTTTTATCGCCAGAAACATGCAGAGCCCCAGTCATCGAGATAGTTGTCCTGCTGCATGTCAAGGATCCAATGGAGAGCCCCAGCCATCGAAATAGCATGTAAAAGCAGACATCTTTATTCCCCAAATCATCCACTTAGATACATTCTCTAACTCAAAATTCCCTGAGCCTTGATAGGGTTCATAGAAACTTCCACTAATCCCTTCATTAGGAGAATATGAATAAGTTCTCCAAGCGTGTTAACATCTGGGCAAACAAGAATAAATGCTTTTCTTCGTCGCCCAACTTGTGTGGTTCTCAGATTATCGAAGTAATCTACTCGAGAAGTTGGAACAATTTCACATCCACTCTGGGTGCTTTTAATTCAAGCATCCCAGAAAGTCACTTTGCTAAAGAACGGAAGTATATATGAATACATTAACGTATATCAGAGTCCACGGTTGGACTCCCTCTTCCTTTTCAAATAGAAGCCCTTTCCAAGGTTTTAATAAAACTCAAAGCCACGTAATTTTGAGAGGGATAAGAAGAGGATGGAGAGGGAGATGGCGATCCGGGTGGATTGTGTAGTGATCAATAGGTTGCTCCCCTTGATGCTGCCATAACAGCGAAGAATCTGTTTTGCAGCAATGGATTTTCAGTTGCTAATTTTAAACAAATGTACACATTCCATTGAAAAATAAATTGTTCTGTTGCTGAAATCCCATGCTAAAAACCTTAGGAGGGAGGGGTCATACTCCTGGAATGGCTTTGTGCGTGCCTTTTGGGTCTGTGACCCAGTGGGTTAGCTCCTAGCTCCTCACAAGCACATGGGAGTGTCCATAAAAAAGCCATGAATTCAATTTTGAGTTAGATTGGCCGTGAGGAATGTGTTTTATGGTCAGGTTATAAATCACAACAGAGAGATTCTCTGGAATATTTGATGGAATGAACTCCAAAGTACATTGAAGCGGAGTTCAGTAGACAAGGGCATGATTGGTGATTAGTAGTGTATTTTGTTTTTTAAAGTTTTTTTTTGTATTGAAATATATTAAAATAATATTTTTTATTTTTTAAAAATTATTTTTAAAATCAATAAATTAAAACAATTCAAATCATGTAAAAAAATTAATTTTTAATAAAAATAAATAAATTCTAAAGACACCGTGCAAGGTAATTGTATCCGTCGAGCTCTTGAAAACGCTTAGGAGAGGATTCTCTACTTTTTATCGCCAGAAACATGCAGAGCCCCAGTCATCGAGATAGTTGTCCTGCTGCATGTCAAGGATCCAATGGAGAGCCCCAGCCATCGAAATAGCATGTAAAAGCAGACATCTTTATTCCCCAAATCATCCACTTAGATACATTCTCTAACTCAAAATTCCCTGAGCCTTGATAGGGTTCATAGAAACTTCCACTAATCCCTTCATTAGGAGAATATGAATAA